GCATGCAAGGCAAGCGCTCTACCACTGAGCCACCTTCCCAGCCCCCTCAGAGGTTCATCTGTTGTCTCCACCTGCTTAAAACATCTGGGGTACATAGTTGGTGCCCACCCATTCTCTCTCTCTCTCTCTCTCTCTCTCTCTCTTGTGTGTGGACACTGTGTTGAACTCAAATCCTCGTGCTCTTGCTTGGCTTTTTTTTTTCTTCTGATTCTGGGGCTTGAACTCAGGGCTTGGACACTGTCCTTGAGCCTCTTTGGCCTCAAGGCTAGCACTCTACCACTGGAGCCACAGCGCCACTTTTAGCTTTTTCTGAGTAGTATATTGGAGAGAAGAGTCTCGCCAGAATTCCTGTCCAGGCTGGGGCTTGGAACCATGATCCTAAGATCCCAGCCTCTTGGGTAGCTAGAATGACAGGTATGAGCCACTAGTACTGGGCTTTCATTCTTGAGGACACTGGAGTGTGCATGTTAGGGGCTGTGGGGTGAGTGGGAGAGGCTGGGGGACAGCAGCTCAATGGCCCTTGGGCTACTGGTCCAGCATTGCCCAGCCAGATGCTAAGGGCCGCATGGGCTGGCATCACAAAATCCCACCCAGAAAGTTACTGGACTGCCTCTCTTTCTCTGTAAAGGTGAAGTCCGAGTCTCTGGGAATTCCGCAGAAAATACACCTCAAAGTGGATGTGGAATCCGGGAAACTGATCGTGAAGAAGTCCAAGGACGGGTCTGAAGACAAATTCTACAGCCACAAGAAAAGTAAGGTCCTATGCCCTGGTTCCCCGCAGGGCACATGGAATAAGCATCCCGGGCCCGACTCAGGAAAGGCCAGGCCAGACTCCAGCACTGTGGACAACCCCAGCTCACCTTGCTACACCATTCCTGCCCTGCCCCAAGGTCACCTTGGGGCCTTCCCTGAATTCCCTCCCTGCTGCAGAACCCCTAGAAACGATTATACATGTCACCTTAGCATGTCCTGACCCAGCACTAGTTTTGTATATGTACATGCTATGCTCTGTGCTGTGTGTGTGTGTGTGTGTGTGTGTGCGTGTGTGTTCTTGTCCCAAATAGCCTAGTGTTCATAGCTACCAATTGGCATAGCCAATAGATGCAGACTATCTTCTCTGGGTCTTAGTCTCCTCTTCTATGAACTGAGGAGGAGGAGGACAAAGAACTACACAGAACAGAGCCCAGCCCCCAGCAACCCCTTTGGGATCAGCCCCTTGAGCCTTGGCTCCCTGACTTTCTTGCTTACACTGGCTTTAAACTGTAATCCTCAGATCCCAGCCTCTTGAGTAGCTAGGATGACAGAGACAAGCCACCAGCGCCCAGCCCAGTCCCCCCATTCTTACCTCACTTTTTATCATGGTGCCTTGACTGGCCAAGACATGTTCGTGTAAATGGATCACTCCAGTGGTTTGAGCTACTGAGGGCTCCTCTGAGCCACAGGCACATGAGCTCCACTGCAAGGTGGAAGTGACCAGGACTGAGGAAAAAGCATTCCGCAGGAACAGCTGTGCAGACCCCTGCCTCATGGAGGGGAGCGCTTGGGGCGGGGAACCAGTGCTGGAGAGTGGGGTGTGTTGGACAGCTTAGATGTTATCTCAGATGCCAGGCAGGCTTTGGGAAACCGTGAAGCAAGATCGGAAGTGCCAGGCTTGAGTGTTGTTGAGCTAAGATCCTGGGGGAGGGAGTGACTGTGGATAAGTGTTCCACCCTGTGGTTTGAGACTGACCAGGTTCAAATCCAGACTCTGCAACCTGTCTGCTGAGTCCTGTTGGCCTAGTTACTTAGCCTCTCTGTGCCTCCATTCCATCTGTAAGATGGTTATATCAGCCAGGTACCAGTCAATCACGTTCCTCTAAGTCTAAGAATTTGCCTTTGAACCACAAGTCTGTGAGATGCTTAGCTCCAATTAACCACTGAAAAACCACAAGTGGAGCTGTGGCTCATGTAATAGAGCACCAGCCCTGAAGCTGAATCCTCCCAATCTCAGCCTCCCAGGTGGTTAGGATTATAGGGCTGAATATCAATACCATCAAGGTTTTCTGAAGAAAACTGTAATAGCTCAGAAAATATGAGCAAGAGCTGGCCAATGCAGTTACCATCGTTAAAAAAACCTCTGCACAGCAAAGGAAACAATTACTATAGTGGAAAGATAGAATGTTGTCAGCTATTCATCTGATGGAATTAATATCAGAATATATAAAGAACTCAAACATATCAAAAGAACAAATAAATCAATAAATGAGTAAGTGAATTGACCAGAGTTCTCAAAAGAAATATAAATGATCAATTAAAAACACATGAAGTATTGTTCAACATCTTTAACTATCAGAGAAATTCAAATCAAAACTGCCTCGAGATTCCATCTTAGCCCAGTCAGAAGAAAGAAAACAAGAACAAATGCCGGACAAAAGGAACCTTTATATATGGTTAGGACAGTTGTCAATTAGTGCAACTACCCTGGAAATCAGTACGGAGGTTCTTTAAAACACTAACATTAAAGCCAACACATGAGCCAGCTATACCACTTCTGGATATTTATCCAGAGGAAACAAACAGCAAACAATGCAAGCATCCAAACATTCGCGTCTCTCATGGTACTAACCATAATGACCACACTATGGGACTGGCCTACATGCGCATTGACAGATAAATGGATAAAGGAAATGTGGCATATATAGCAAATATATGATATTCGGCCTTCGTGCCCCTGATCCTATATACCCAGGAGGCTGAGGTCTGAATGTAATTCAAAGTTAGCCCAGGTAGGAGACCTCTCATCTCCAATTAAACCCCAAAAGGCCAAAACTAGAGCTGTGGCTCAAGTGGTAGAATACCAGCCTTGAGTGAAAAAGCTAAGGGCCAGTTCCCCTGCCCTGAGTTAAAGCCCTGGTACCAGCAGGGTAAAAGGTAAAGAAAAGAAAAGTTGGCTGGGTGCTGGTGGCCAAATCCTAGCTACTCAGGAGGCTGAGATCTGAGGATCATGGTTCAAAGCAAGCCCGGACAGGAAAGTCCATGAAACTCTTATCTCTAATAAACCACCAGAAAACTAGCACGGTAGCTCAAGTGGTAGAGCACTAGCCTTGAGCTGAAGAGCTCAGGCCCAGAGTTCAAGCCTCATGACCAACAAAAAAAAAAAAGAAAGAAAAGAAGGAAGAAAAGAAAAGTTGTTCACAGGAAAATGCATAGAACTGGAGATCATGTTAAACAAAATATCATGTTAAACAAAATAAGCCAAGACAACGAAAGACAAGTAGCATGCTTTCTTCCATATATGGAGTCTAGACTTATTTTATTTATTTCTTTATTTTATTGTGAAAATACCGTACAGAGGGGTTACAATTACATGGGCAAGATAACGAGTATATATTTTTTTTTCTTGGTCCAGTCATGGGGCCTGAACTCTGGGCCTGGGCGCTGTCCCTCAGCTCTTCAGCTCAAGGCTAGTGCTCTACCACTTGAGC